TTTCTTGTTTAGTCTTGAGATATTTCCTCAATGTATATGATCTGCCCCTTTGGTTGTTTTTGTTTGTTTCTCTGTGGCCCAGGCTGGAGTGCAGTGGCACAATCCCGGCTCACTGTAACCTCCACCTCCTGGGTTCAAGGGATCCTCCTGCCTCAGCCTCCTAAGCGTCTAGGATTACAGGCACCTGCCACCACACTCGGCTAAATTTTGTATTTTCAGTAGAGACGGGGTTTCCCCATGTTGGCCAGGCTGGTCTCGAACTCCTGGCCTCAGCCTCCCAAAGTGCTGGGATTCCAGGCGTGGGCCACTGCGCCCAGCCTGCCCCCTTAGTTTTTTTCTGCCGCAAGAGGCCCCAGATGTGTTGAGGCTACTTTGTTTAGCCACTTTCTCACGAGGAACATTTTGGTGGCTCGAGCTGTTGCTGGAAGGAACGGCACTGAACCCATGGGCTCTCTCCCAAGCCTGGTCTGGTCTTGGGGTCGCCGTCTGGGGGCCTGTCCTCAGATGCTCCCACTGTGACTTGGCAAAACCACCCGCACCCTTCTTTTCCTCCCCTCCCCACTGCCATGGTGCCCAAGTCTTGTCTGTCAGCCACGGCGGGAGGCAGGGCAGGTGTGAGAAGGGAGTGGTGTGAGGTGGTTTCTGTGTGGTGTCCTGGGGCCGCTGTAACTCATGGCCACGGACTGGGAGGCTTGAAACAGCAGAGCTGGACTCTCTCCCAGTTCTAGAGGCCAGAAGTCTAAAATCAAGGTGTGGCCAGGCAGCCTCTCTCCAGAGGCTCGGGGGAGGATCCTCCTGCTGCCTCCCGCTCCTGCGGCCCCAGTTGTTCCTTGGCTTGTGGCACACTCCGGTCTCTGCCTCTGTCTTTATGTGGCCTCTTCCCTGTCTCTCTGTCTCTCTCTCGTCCTCTTCCCCATCTCTCTGTGTTCCCCTCTCTTTTTGTAAGGACACCAGTCATTGAATTTACTGCCTACCCTAAATCCACAGTGATCTCATTTCAAGATCCTTAATTAAGTACATCTGCAGGCCGGGCGCGGTGGCTCACGCCTGTAATCCCAGCACTCTAGGAGGCCAAGGTGGGCGGATCACGAGGTCAGGAGATCGAGACCATCCTGGCTAACACGGTGAAACCCCATCTCTACTAAAAATACAAAAAATTAGCCGGGCGTGGTGGCAGGCGCCTGTAATCCCAGCTACTCGGGAGGCTGAGGCAGGAGAATGGCTTGAACCCGGGAGACGGAGGTTGCAGTGAGCCGAGATCGCGCCACTGCACCCCAGCCTGGGCGATAGAGCGAGACTCCGTCTCACAAAAAAAAAAAAAAAAAAAAGTACATCTGCAAAGACCCTGTTTCCAAATAAGGCCCCATTCCAAGGTTCTGGAGGTCTGGGGGTGGACATGGCTTTGGGGATCACTGTTCAGCTCACCACAGTCCCCGAAGGTAGCCTCACTTCCCTGCGCCTGTGGTCCATCAGCAGGCAGGTGGGCTTAGGCATGGAGTGAGGGCCTGTGCCTGGCTCCCCCATCATACTCCCCTCCTGTGCGTGGATGGGGCAGGTGCGGTCACATACAGGGCAAAACTGTTGCTTTTGTTAAAATAATTCACTGCAGGGTTTCTTGTAAAGGGTAAAATTTCTTCGTGCGTCTAAAGCATCACATTTTAAAATCAGATTCAGTTTACGTAGATACACCGGTTAGAATGGCAGTCGTGTCTCAAATTTGGATCAGGTCATTGTTTCCGAACAACCAGGAAACGAGGGTTGATGTGGATCCTTTAACTCAGTTCTGCTGTCTAAAAACTTCCCATTTCCAGATCTCCGGTCTGTTCTAGAATAGGAGTCAGCACACGCTTTCTGTCAAGGGTGAGGCACGGACAGTGGGGACCAAAGGGCGTCTGTGTGCCGGTGAATCTATTAGGGACACACATTGGAACCTCGCTGTTTTTTCTTTCTCTGCCGTTCCACACAGTAAAACCCATTCTGAGTTTGTGGGCCGCACGTGCACGGGCTGGTCTGCCCTGTTTCAGAATGGCTGCTGGCCTTTGCCAGTGCCTTGGGGCTGCCAGGGTGGGTTAGGGGGATGCTCTCTCCACCAGTTCCTTTTGCTCTGACAGCCGGCCCAGGCTGCAGCAGCCGGCCTGAGCATCCTTACGCAGAAGCTCTGCAGTGTCCTGGCCCTGGATGGGGGTCCGAGGCAGCTCCGCCCCTGCCCGTGTCGGGACACAGGAATGATGACTGTGAGGGCTGCCCCTGGCCTGCTGTTACTAACCGTGCTCTGGACAGAGCTGGGCAGACCGGCCACGCGGCTGCTGGTGTGGACATGATGGGCGCTGCCAGCAAAGCGGCCATGGGCCTGGAGTCTGGTGACCGAGGAGCCCCTGCTGGGCCCGGGATCACTTGACAGCAGTGGCCACAGCAACAGTCTCTGTCCCGAATGACCGCTGCGTGAACACAGTTGTCCTGACTGGAACTGTCAACAGTTTTAGGGGTGAGGTAGCGAGGTTCCTCCCTGTGACATGATTTAATCGTGTCCAGTGAAGCTTGGGGAGCTGCAGCCAGGATTGAGGAAGTTCTCACGGGAGGTCACAAGAATCCGGCACTGTGCTCTCGTCTCCCCTTGCGAAAGGGAACCACGTCAGAAGACGGCGTATCTAGAAGGAGCAGCACAAGTGTTACTTAGAGAAGGAGTGGGGAGGAGGGCGGGCAAGCCTAGCCCACGGCGTTTCTGTGTAGTCAGCGAGCTGAGAACGCGCTTTACATTTCCGCATGGTTGGGAAAAGGTCAAAACAATTCTAATACTGTTTCACACTACAAGAAAATTGTAAACTTCACATTTCAGTGTCTGTAAATCAAGCATCTCGGGCACACGGCCGGCTCCGTGTGTCCACATCCCCTGGTGGCTTCTGCACCACTGGGTGGCCCACGGAGCAGTGGGCGTGTACTGTTGCCTCTTGACAGGTTACTAGCCCTTGTGGCAGAAGGTGCTGAGTGTGGGGAGGGGCAGGGGCGTCGCTGTGCCACACGGTGTGTTTAACCATTTGCGTGCACTGCCGTATTAAAATCCGAAAGTGCCAGCCTGGACAATGTGGCGAGACCCTGTTTCTACAAAAATAAAAAATAAAACACTGGCCGGGCGTGGTGGCACTGCACCTGGAGTTCCAGCTACTCGGGGGGCTGAGGCAGAAGGATCACTTGAGCCCTGGAGGTGGAGGCTGCAGGGAGCTGTGTTAGTGCCACTGCACTCCATCCTGGGCACAGACTGAGACCCTGTCCCCACCAGAAACCAAAACAAGCAAACCCAAAAGTGCATCAAAGCCACGGGTGTCGAGGAGATTAACGCGTTTCCATGTGGCTCGCCTGGTCTCCCTGTCTTAGGCCATCCTGCCTGGTGTTGGGGCCCGGGGAGAAAGGAGGAGAACCAGCCCCTCCCCGAACAGCGCCCTGTGCCCACAGCCGTGGCTTATAGTTTGGGAGCTCCTCTCTGTGGTTCTCCCCGGACCCCACCACCAAAAAGCCCCAAATGTCACCCTCTCGCGTCTTTTCGGGGGGTGTGGGGGGTGGTGAACCCGCTCTGGGTGTTTGTGTGGCCAGGTCGGGCCTTGTTTTCCTGCAGAGCAGACAGCAGCGCCGCAGCGTCCAGCAGAGCCCTTGCTCGGGGTCGGGGGCAGCTTCTGACATTCCGTGGGTTTTGCTGTTGTCCCCGGGGACCTGGCCGAGACCCCCCAGGGATGTGTCCTGTGCCTGGCCCTGAGCTTGGGGTCCTCCCGTCACAGGAGTTACCTGGAGGGCAGCCTCCTGGCCAGCGGGGCCCTGCTGGGGGCAGACGAGCTGGCCCGCTACTTCCCAGACCGGAACGTGGCACTCTTCGTGGCCACCTGGAACATGCAGGGCCAGAAGGTGAGTGGCGCTGGGTGGCGCTGGGCAGGGAGGGGCGGGGCGGTGCTGGACAGACGTGGGTGAGGGAGACGGGGCAGTTCTGTGCCTCGTCCCGGGGCCGGGAGGGCAGAGCCCTGAGGTGCATCCACTGTGAGCCGCGGTACAGGAGGGTGAGGGTGGGTAAGGACTCCCGTCCTCCCGAGCTCCCACCTGCACCTCCATGGCCGCGTGGCTGCAGAACGGAGGGGAAGGGATTGGGTCACCAGGCCTGGCTGAGAATCGTCTGCTCAAGGTGAGCGGGAGGGCGGCCAGCAGAGCCCGTGTGGAGCGGCTCAGGGGCAGGTTGGGCCCCACAGGCTGGGGTCACGGTGACGGGGGTCATGGTGACGGGGGTCACACAGGGGTGGTTGTTGGACAGAGCTGTGTTTGGAGAGGGAAACTGAGGCCAAGGGCCAACCTGAGGTGTGTTTGGTGTGTCAGAGGCTGCCTCGGAGACCGACTGGGTAGATCCCTTCTTGGCCCTGGCCTCAGTTTCCCCTCATTCAGAGGAGTTGCTGGCACTCGAGGTGCTGCAGTGGGACTCGCCCACAGGCGCCTGCAGGTTTCGGGAGGAGCCGGCCCACCACGTGCTCCCTCCTCCCAGGAGCTCCCGCCCAGCCTGGACGAGTTCCTGCTCCCAGCCGAGGCCGACTATGCCCAGGACCTGTACGTCATCGGCGTCCAGGAGGGCTGCTCTGACAGGTAGGGCGGCCGCAGGCCCTGCAGTGCCTGCCCGGGGGCTGCTGTCTCTGAAGCTGCTGGGCGTTGAGACCTGGGTTGCGGCTCGGCACGGGCAGCCTCCACACCTGGGCGGGATACATGAGTCGGTTTCGTTTCTGGTGGCAACTTGGAGAGTTTAAAATCAATGAGATTGGATTTTGGTAACAAATTGTTGACGTGAGAGAGTAGAAGGGCAGCAGGGAGCAGGGCCGGGCTCCGAGGCCTCCTGGGGCCCCTGCGTTGTGGTGGGAACAGCAGGTGGCTGCCGCCCACACAGGTGCTCTGGGGGAAGGAGCCCTGGCCCCAATTTGAGGTGGGCCCCACTCCCCGGCCCATGAGCCATGCAGGCAGGAGGAGCTCTGCTCACTGGGGTCTCAGCAGGGATCCGGGGGAGCCACTGCCTGGATCCCCGGCAGGTCCCAACTCTGGCCCACAGCAGCCTCTGGCAAATGCTTCTCCATGCAGGACTCCGGGGCCAGGTCGTGGAGTTTCCTGGCAGCTCCTCGAGGGGCTCTGGGTGGCAGGTCTGGGAGTGGTGGAGCTGGGAGGCCATGTCCCCCAGCCGGCCGCGCTTCCTCCTCTGCAGGCGGGAGTGGGAGACGCGTCTGCAGGAGACGCTGGGCCCGCACTACGTGCTGCTGTCCTCGGCGGCCCACGGCGTGCTCTACATGTCGCTCTTCATCCGCCGGGACCTCATCTGGTTCTGCTCAGGTGGGCGCGGCTGGAGGGTGGCAGCCCCCCTTTCCACGGCTGACCCATGGCCTTGGCAGGACAGGCACGCTTTGCGTCTGGGATCTGGGGGTTGCTATGTCACACACAGGCTCCACAGCGAGCCCCCACTGGCATGCGGGTCCGGCCACGACCCCCGGCCTGCAGCGTCCCGCAGGTGACCTGAGGGCTGCCCCTCCCACAGAGGTGGAGTGCTCCACGGTGACCACACGCATCGTGTCTCAGATCAAGACCAAGGGGGCCTTGGGCGTCAGCTTCACCTTTTTTGGCACCTCCTTCCTCTTCATCACGTCCCACTTCACCTGTAAGTCGCTTGGTGCCCGCACCGCAGGTGCTGCATGAGAACAGCCTTCCTCTCCTGACCAGGACCCTGCCCAGGGCAGGGGTCCTGGCTGCTGGCTTCATCTTCCACCCAGGGCTGTGGGGCGGGCACCGTGCTTGCTAAGATGCACGCTGAGGACCCCCAGCAGACCCCGGCACTGAGGGCATGCCGTGCTGGGCCCGCGCTCCGTCCTCCGAGGCAGAAATGTCCCTGGCCAGGCCTGGCAGCGGATGCCCGGTGGGGTTGCGTCTGCAGGGGGCGCGCAGTGAGGGTATGGTCCAGAGGGGCGGCTCTTGAGGGAGACCCAGAACCCTGTGACCCCTACCCCATTTCTGTTCCCACAGCGGGCGACGGGAAGGTGGCAGAGCGGCTGCTGGACTACACCAGGACCGTGCAAGCCCTGGCCCTGCCCAGAAACGTGCCCGACACCAACCCCTATCGCTCCAGCGCAGGTGAGGGCCCCCACACCGCATGCGAGTGGTGCTGCCGTGGTTCACACGCGGGGCGCCCGTCGTTTTTACGGCAGCTCTGCAGAGGCAGCGTCCTGAGCTCTGGGAAGCGAGGGCCGAAAAGTCCAGGTGCCCCCAGCGCATAGCCCCTCGTGGTTCTTTAGCACGGTTAGTGGGGTGGGCGGATCCTGTCCACTCACAGCGTGTCCTGCTAGCCTGGGTCCTGGTCCTCACCACTGCCCGCCCTGCCGCCTCCCCCGGCTGTGTGGAAAGGAGCAGAGACATGGTCATCCCCTGCCATGGGCGCCGTCTGCCCCTGAGGCTGCTCCAGGTGCCTTCTGGAGCTGTCCCAATGCGAATCCCACCCGAGGGCCCGGCCCCTCTGGCTGGCACCCGAGACCCACTTCCCCTGGGAGCCACTGCCAGGCCGTGTTCTGGGGAAGGGGAAGGACCTGCCGTTGCTTGCCTGTGCCCATGCATGGTCCGCTGTGCCACAGTGGACGTCACCACCCGCTTCGATGAGGTGTTCTGGTTTGGAGACTTCAACTTCCGCCTGAGCGGCGGGCGCACGGCCGTGGACACCCTCCTGTGCCAGGGCCTGGTGGTGGACGTGCCGGCGCTGCTGCAGCATGACCAGCTCATCCGAGAGATGCGGAAAGGTGAGGGCCTGGGAGGGGGGCGGGCGTGGCGGGAGATGAGGAAAGGTGAGGGCCTGGGGTGCCGCGGCTGGCACGAGCTGGTCTGAGCCAGTCCGGGTGCCCATCCTGTGGCAGGGTCCATCTTCAAGGGCTTCCAGGAGCCGGACATCCACTTCCTCCCGTCATACAAGTTTGACATCGGGAAGGACACGTACGACAGCACCTCCAAGCAGAGGACACCCTCATACACGGTGAGCCCCGCCCGTGGCCGGCGCAGAGTGCTTCCAGGGCGGGCACCTCCCACAGCCGGGAGCCAATGCCTGGCATCAGGGGTCTGAA